CATTTATGGAGTTGTTGCCCTGCATCGTATTTGTCAACAGTCAACAGTATGAAATGTAAGATGATGCACAGGTCTGGGGACGGAGCCAGTGCGTTAACTGCGTTAAAATATTTTAGTCACGTTATTTTTTCATCACTAATCAATTAAGTTAACACGGTAAACTAACCTATTGAGAACTGACCTAAAAAAAAACTAATTAAAATAGAAAACATACATTTAATTTGAATTGAATAAACTTTCAAAAACAAAAAAATCTTACTGACCCCAACTTTTGAATGGCAATGTACATACGCTAATAGCTAATCCTCCATCCACATCCAGACTCATGCAGTTTCCCACTGTTCCCCCTCCAAAAAGCACCAAAGAGCTCTGTGAATACCACATGATGAGGTGCCTTGACTCCTGAATATAAAAGCCCATTATCCCAATGCCTTTGTGCTCCTCTATCTGACTCTTTTGGTGCGGCCCCCATTGTCTCAATTGTCTGCTTCCATTCTCAGACCCTCTAGCCATCTTTGGCCCGTTGCCAGTCAGTGAATCCCTGCTTTGGTCCTTCTCTTTTTCCACAACCCATGACTCTCAGTCTGAATAGCCTGCATGTCCCCTCTCTTAAGTTCAAACAACAGACGGCCTCCTTCCAAATGCGTTTACTACAAGGGTGGGCTCAACGGTCTCTCTGATTCCCTTGTTCTCTCTGTTTCGTCACAGATGCCTGCAATGTCAATCAGCAGAATAAGGCGGGATATACTCCCATCATGCTAGCAGCACTCGCCGCTGTGGAGGCCCAGAAGGACATGAGGGTGGTTGAAGAGCTGTTCGGCAATGGCGATGTCAATGCTAAAGCCAGTCAGGTTTGTGTAATTCTACTGTTGCACTTGAGCATTGCTTTAAACTGAACTAAGCGCACATTTATTTTAATTTTTTTTAATAAAATTTTTTTTGCATAGATTGAATATACAGTTAGGTAATACTTGACCATATCCTACACTCTTAAAAATAAAGGTTCCAAGGGTGTTTTTGCAGTGATACCATAGAGGAACCATTTTTGCTTCCCCAAAGAACCTTTTAGTGAACAGTTCTTAAATTAACCATTTTGCAGAACATTTAAAAATCTAAAGAATCTTTTTTGATTATAAAGAACCTTTTCTGCATTTGAAAGGTTCCATGGATGTTCAAGGTTCTTCATAGCAATATCGATGCCAATAAAGAACCTTTATTTTTAAGAGTGTATGGTCCATTTCATTGATATTAGTTGGGTATCATGAGCTTAAAATTAACAATACATTTTTTTTTAAATAAATGTTAAAATTAAATATAAATAGGTTCATTTCTACTTGCACTACCATTCAAAATTTAGGGTCAGCAAGATTTTTAAATATTTGTCTCTTGAAGTCTGCTTCCCAAGGCCACATTTGTGTATGTGTATAATAAAACCGTAATATTGTGAAATATAATGTAAAATAAATTGTCTATTTTAATATTGTAAAATGTTATTTATTCTAGTGATGGCAAAGCTGCATTTTCATCATCATTATTCCAGTCTTCAGTGTCACATGATCCATGATTCAATATGCTGATATACTGTGTATATATATATATATATATATATATATTTTTTTTTAGGATTCTTTGATAAATAGAAAGTTCAAAAGAAATTATTTTAAATGTGTTTACTGTCACTTTTGATCAATTTAATACGTTCTTCTTGCTGGATAAAATATGAATTGAAAAATATATTATATTATACAAGAATGCTAGTATAGTAAATAATAATATAGTAAAATGAAAATGGTATAGTATATAAATTAGCATTAAACTAGATTATTGTCTTTTGAGGCAGTAGTCTTACTTTTGAAGTCTCTAAACTGATCTCATTGACTCTGTGAGTCCAGGCTGGTCAGACAGGGCTGATGCTGGCTGTCAGTCATGGCAGAATGGACATGGTGAAGGCTCTGCTTGCCTGCGGTGCAGACGTCAACATCCAGGATGATGAGGGCTCGACTGCGCTTATGTGCGCTAGTGAACACGGTCACGTTGAGATAGTCAAGCTTCTGCTGGCTCAGCCGGGCTGCGATGCCACACTCAGTGATAATGTGAGTGAGCAGAGTCTCAATTTAACCTAGATAGTCCACCAAATACGTTTAATGAACATGACGTATATTTATGTAATGGGTTCCACTCATTTCTCATAGTGGATACTGCTGTTGTTATCAGAAAGCAAGTAAGGCTAATGAGGTGTTCGCCATTTGTATGTTTGTTTTCTTGTCTCTAGGATGAGAGCAATGCTTTGTCTATTGCTCTGGAAGCAGGTCATAAGGACATAGCAGTGCTGCTGTATGCCCATATGAACTTCTCCAAAGCTCAATCACCGGTGAGTGACTGCAGTTCACATACAGCTGATACACAGTGCATTCATTTGATCTATTTGTACATTGTGTTGTGTTGATTTGTTTTTTTTTTTGTAGTTAAATTTTTTATTTTTTTAATAAGTTGGAATGTTTCAGTGGATAAACACAATTTATTTTGTAATAAGCAGAGTTTAGAGTCAGAAGGAGGCCTATTACAATAGCTATGGATTTTGCAACTGACTCATGTTTGGCTCCCTTTCCTGTAAATCATATCTTTTATGTCTGTCATCTGTTCACAGGGTACGCCTCGACTTGGGAGGAAGACTTCACCCAGTCCTACAAGGAAAGGGCATGTTTGATCGTAGAGCTTCTACTCCACCCTGCCTGAGCTGCTATTTTTTCAGGTTCTGCCATGCCTACCATTTTCATTCGCTAGAAACCAAATCTACAGCTAAAAGACTGAAAACTTACTCCAAAGCGCAACTAATGGATAGTAGGCAATTATACTGAGCACTTTCTTCAAACTTCTCATGGGTTATGTATTTCTCCTTGGCTTTTAGATTATAATACAAATGGGCTTGCTAGCTAAGAGTCAGTCCCTTAAAACCTCAAATGTGTACTCACCCTGAATGTATTCAGAAAGTATTCTTCAGCCTGAAATCACCAGCGTAATGTCAGAGCTAGATGTCAACTGGAAAGTGGCTATGGAGTTGCCTTCAGAATATTGTTACTCTCATATTAATGTTTAATTTTATAATATATGGATATATCTTTGTATTCTTCCTCCTTTGAGTGGTCTAAAGCTTAAGTCAACATTTTTCCCTCTGTTTTTTTTTTTATTTAAATAATCAATAATTTATAATTCCAAGATGTGGCCAGTGTTGCCTGACAATGAGCTTTATTTGAACCATGTATATGCTGCCCAATATGTTCAGCCTTTGGGGTTTAAATCTTTTCTCCTCCATCAAATCCCCAGCAGAGATGTCCAGTGGGTATCAGAGGTTGAAACACAGACTTTCAACATGTTATTTTGAATATTTCTAGATTTGGATTAGGTCCTTACTTTTATACTTGCCATTTTATCTATTTAAAAATCACAGTATTTAGGACATTTCAGATTTATTTTATAACATGAAGTTATATATGTACCTATTAAAAGTTTTTATCGGAAATAATTGTACTTTGATTGTATATATTGTATGTCTGCGATAAGTGAATGCAGTAGCTTTGACAGGCCTTCATGTAATAAACTTATGTCGCAGGTCTAATATGTGGCTTTTCATGTAGTCACAAATAGAATAACAGATAACTACAGATAGTAGCCAATAACTTGATAATAAAGTGTTAAAAAGACATGGCTTGTGCCCGTCTCTCGTCTGAACCTCTTCTTTCAGTTAATCCACTTTCTTACTGGTCAATAGTACAATGTCTCCCTCTACTGGAATCACAGCTAATGTATAGTTCTAATATATTTTGACATGCTGGCTTGAACTCTTTCTTGTTAGGCATTGTTATTCAAATAGGAAATATTCAGTTGAAAATGTACTTGTATACATTAAATGTATACATGTCTTTTTGACATCTTAATTTAATATCGAACATTTTTCATTTAATTTTAATAAACGAATTAAAATTGTGCTTACAAGTTAGCTCGACTTCTTGCAGGTGGGGAGATCGGCAGGCATGAAAATATGATGAGCAGATTTTCAGTTGTGTTAAAGCTGTTATGGACACGGCAAAGAAAGTCACAAATATGATCAGTGTCCTGGTTTGGCCCGTTAGCCCCTGCTGGTCGACATCGTAACTGCACCATTATGCTGCGAAAAGTGTCTTTCTCCACTGGCCGTCATTATTGAGAATTAGTATTGTGATAATTAGCTATGTGTTTCTGCGAAACCGCAGAAAGCATTTATTCACTGCAGTTAATTTAGTCTCATTTTCAAGTAGGCTATAAATATTACTACACATATTATAGATACCTTTTGAATATTCCGTTTCTATTACGTTGACTGCCTTTTTCTTCCCAAAATCAAAGTACTTATACATATATGTATATATGTATGTATTTGTGTATATATATATATATATATATGTGTGTGTATCTATCTATCTATCTATCTATATATATCTATATATATGTGTGTGTGTGTGTGTGTGTATATAAGTCTGAAACATTATAAAATGTTGACTATAAAATAATAATAATAATACAATTATCATCATTTATTTTGGCCCCTAGCACTTATATCTTACTGTTGTTTTATGTGCAAATAATCACGTATGAATCATGGCATTTTTTTTATTTCTTTGCGTCACTTTGATAACTAAATGCCAACATCTGACTGGAGCCCATATCAAATCTGTGACACCCTTTCACTTATTACAAAAAATCTTATTCCAAAATATAAACACCCTTTATGCTCGCATTTAGTTTGGTGTCTTATGAAGCATGGTTTCATGAGACCGTTTGGCAGTCACTTGGTCTCATTGGGAGAAACTGAACATCATCTCCCACGCGCGCTGGAATGCACAGGTTCCTCGCGCCAAACTTGAGTATCAGACCTCAGACCTCTGTCCTCTCTTTATAAGCGCTTTACAATCGGCTGGCGTGACATATTCTAAGAAGCAGCAGCATCGTTATCACCTGCCGGCATGAGCGAGGAAGAGCAGAATAACGGCTCGCTGTCTGTCAGGAAACCGTCTCGTATGCCGAAGTGCTCTCGCTGCAGGAACCACGGCTTCGTGTCGCCGCTGAAGGGCCACAAACGCTTCTGCAACTGGAGAGACTGCCAGTGTCAGAAATGCAGACTTATCGCTGAACGACAGCGGGTCATGGCAGCCCAGGTAACGTTACGCTAGCCATCCTCGCCGGGATGCAAGTTCAGCTAGTCTCTTTTTTTTATTTAACGTTATTTGTTTATTCAACGTTCATTGTAACCCCCGCTCTAATTTCACGGTTTAACTTAGTTGTTTATACATTTAAAAGCAAAACTACTCCATGTTTCATGTCTTGCCTCCCCTATTATTTTTTACTTCATTGTTTTACTTAATGAAGACTAGCGTATGTTTTAGCCGTGTTTACAGTCGAGTTTACAAATAATTGGATTGTTTGCTACAACAATAATGATAAATTGTTTGCAATCATAGTAACGTTTTGTAGCTACATTGTTTTTCAGCTAGCTGCAGTTTGGCGCCTTAGCGAGATTTTTCTTTTTCAGAAATAAGGCGGACGGTAGAAAAACATCCATTTTATTCACTTTAATTTATTTAGATGTAATCAAATGATAATTCAAATGCCTCGTGGTACTTTTATTAGGTAGAGAGTGAAGTGGCTCAGGCGTTTCAGGCCTTGAGGTGACTGTTTGTCATGGTTAGGTGGCGTTACGGAGGCAGCAGGCCCAGGAGGAAGAGCTGGGCATTTGCAATCCGGTTAACCTGTCCGGTTCAGACACTGTGGTGAAAAACGAGGCCGCCGGTGATAATGTGTTTACTATCATCTCAGAACCGCCATCACCCACCGCCAGCAGTGCTACCGCCTCTCCCACCAACCTAGGTGAGTAAACCGCATTCATTTGATTAAAAAACAAAATTGACTCAAACATCCAGTTACACAAATGTGTATTTTCACTAGAACTGGATGTGTACAGTATATTTGTTTCAAATAAATAGCTAAAACATGATTTTGGAATTATTTTAAAGGGGTCATATGATGCGATTTTCAAGTTTTCCTTTCTCTTTGGAGTGTTACAAGCTTATTGTGCATAGATCCCTGAAGTTGCAAAGACTAAAGTCTCAAAACCAAAGAGATATTCTTTATCAAAGTGAAGACTCTGCCACGCCCCCTAAAACGGCTCGTTCTAACACGCCCCCACATGTCTACCTCACTATGTGGAAATATTTGTATAATGTGCCCAAATGTGCGCGCAAAGAAAGAAGGCGTGGTTTCAGTAACCGCAGTAGAAAATTTCCAACATCAGTATTTGTAATAGCTGTTGGGTAACAAGTCAGGTCAGTAAAACCTCACTGAGTTGTATTTTGGCAAGAGTCAACTAACTTATATTATCAAGACAGATTGAGATTTTAACTGTAAGGGCATCTTTCATGAATGTCAGCTTGGGGCAAGTTGTCACGGGTTACAGCTGTGTCACAAGTTTATGTACGCCAAGCAGAATCTGCAAAATGTTTATTATTTTAACAAAACAATAGGGACACTCCAGCGTATTTAAACCATTGAACTGGGTCATTTTTTTATGAATTCAATTATTTTGTCTTGTGGCCTATGCAAACATCTATTATGTCTTTTTGAGGACAGAACTAAAAAAATAACATGCAATCTTATTTTGTTAAAATTATTACCGTTTTACAGATTCCTCAAGGTGTATGTAAACTTTTGACTACAGCTTTATAGTATATATTTGTGATTTTATGGAACTTAATTCATTTCATTGTTAATTTATTCAATATCTATTTGCTGAATCATTTTTCCATACATTGTTTGATAACTTTGATAATTGTTTTAGTGAAAATCTGAAAAGCCATTAAATAGCCTGTAATACATTTTAATTACAGATATGTTGTGTAAGATGGCTTTTATCTACTTTAGAGTGTAGTATGTAATATTACAATCAATAAATAAATAAATAGATATTACTGACTGTTACAGTAGGTTACCACGTTCTGTGATAATTTACCCATACAGTGTTAAACAGATGGTATATTTTATTTCCTTTTGGAAATAATGTAAATATTCAGTAGATTTTTGTAGATAAATGGTACCCAAATTAGCTATAATTTAAAAAGAAAATGAACCTGAGAAATTAACTGAAGCAAAACATGTGAAAGCTAGACCCAGTCTTCCCTAATCTAACGTAAGCATACTTTTTATTTAGAATTTTGAGTTTGCTTTTGAAATAAATTTCATCAAATTATGTTATCATAAATGCCTGATAAAGTAAAAAAAAAAAAAAGGTGTACTTCAGTTTATTGTGTAATAAATAAGCTCTTGTTTATTTATTACACAAGCATAGCATCAGATGTTTCATTACAGTGACCTTCAGTATTTTTTCGTTCTCATTATTTTTCCATCAATTTTATTAAAATAAAGCCTAAACTCATCTCGTTGTGGGAAGTTTCTGTGAATCAGGTCTTTGTTGCTTGGCCATGAGAAAATGAGGAGATAAGCACCTCTTCTTGACCCCCTGAACTGTCCATGGCAGAGAAAAAAACTAAAGGATCCGTGACAGGACATGCTCCTCATGTCAAGTGCAATTAAGCACCCCTTTTCAGTTTTTAAATGAATGTTATAAATATATTTGATGCTAATATGTACCACCATTAAATGCTAATATTATTATTTCAAATGGGACTGGATAGTTTAGGGTTATTTCACCCAAAAATTAAAGTTCTGTCATTATTTACTCACCCTCATGTTGTTCCAAAATATTTGTATTTGTGTTTCGAAGAATAACCAAAGTCTTATTGTATATAATTTTTGGTTACACTTTATTTTAAGGTGTCCTTGTTACAGTGTAATTATACATTTAAGTACTGAGTAATATTAATTAACTACATGTACTTACTACATGGTTAGGGTTAGGATTCGGTTTAGGGTTACTTGCACATAATTCTGCATGATTTATTGTAATTATAATAGTAAGTACATGTAACAAGGACACCTTAAAATAAAGTGTTACCTGTTTTTTATATTTATACCAATGTCTTCTTATAATGATTGAAATTTCCTTTTTCAGAATGTGTATTTTTCTTGGTGAACTACCACTTTAATACATACACACATTAGGTGCAATGATAATAATAATAGTAATAGTAGTAAACCTGATATTTGTAAGATACCCAGTCCCTTTTGAACCTTCAGGCACCTTTATTGTGCATGTAAATTTGTAACCATGAGTTGTTACACATGTGATGCATTACTTCAATTAATTCTTTTTTATTATGCACTGAAAATAACATTGCTTTTCTCCTGCTAAAAGTTACATATCTTATAGTTCTGGCATTACATTAGATGAAAAGTGTGGTTCATAATGTTTTATAATTTAACTTTTTTATTTTATTTCTTACACATTAGATGTGGTATTTTTTAACTATAAAAAGAGTTGTGTAATGGTAATATTAAAAGTAACAGAAACTGTTCATGACAAATAATTTTTTTTTGTGATGTTTATACTTCCAAAAATGATTTACTTTTATTTTGAATTAATCTACTGACCCCAAACTCAACCCCCTACTATATAGTATCTTCAAACCAACCCTTCAGACATACATTACCCCACTCTAGCACTCTAGAAAACATCCGTGTGAACGCCAGCATGGTGCACACACCTCTACACTCACCCAGTCTGCATCCCATGTAGCCCAGGCCACGGTAATAAGGTGATTAAGTGTGTTGCAGGCGTGTTGATAGGGGCCGCTGTCATTGGACCCGTCTGGCTTGTTGAAGTTGGCAGGCTGTAGTGAGCTTCTTTCCTTGGTGTACAGTGATAATACCTGTGCCATCGTTCCAAGCCACTGGCCAAACACAGCAGGAAGGTGTGGGGCTTTCATGCACACTACACCTCTTACGTGCTGTTTACATTTCCTGGCTCCCCCCAGCAGGAACCGCAACTAATTCTGTCATTGGAGGTTTTTTAACCCTTATCCTTATTGCATAGCCAACTATCAGAAGAGGACTGATATATCAAAGTCTAAATAATCACTGCTTATAATTAGTTTGACCGTTATTGCATTATAACATTAGCTATATATGCTTTTGTTAGTTTACGATGATATTTAAAAAAAATCCTAATCTACAAAAATTACATATTTCCAGTTTTCTCATCATGCTGCTCAGGCATTGACGCTCTCACTCTTCTGGCAGTAAAATATTCTTTTAAAAGTAGCTTACGGTTGTAGTTGTTGTATTATAATTATGTTTTAGTAATTACTTATAATTTTACGTTTTAAAGTATAATATATTGCTAGTGTAAATTACCATTCAAAAGCTTGGGGTCAGTAAGAATAAAAAAATATTTTTATTTAGCAAGGATGCATAGAGTTGATCAAAAGCAACAGTAAAGACATAGCTAATATTACAGAAGATTTCTGTTGAAAATGAATGCTTTCCTTTTGAGCTTTCTGTTCATCAAAGACATTTTTTTAACATTGAGAATAATAAGATTGTTTCTTGAGCACCAAATCAGCATATTAGGATGATTTCTGAACAATAATGTTTACAATGCAGACTGCAGTAATGACTGGTGAAAATTTAGCTTGGTCATTCCAGGCACCAAATTAATTACACAAGCAAAATTAATTACATTTTAAAATGGAAAACGTTTATTTTAAATTGTGATAATATTTCACATTATTACAGTTTTTATTATAGGTTTGATCAAATAAATCCATCCTTGGTGAGCATAAGCATACAGTACAATTTTGTAATGTTAAAACTGTTAAAGGAAGTCTGATCTTTTGTGCAAAAGATTTATGTGGTCAGTGTCACACAAATTAGCCTATTAGTGGAATAAGGGTTGGGGGTTTCAGTTTGTAATGATAGAGACATTAACATATTTTAACTGATTTGTTGATTTTGATTGCTTCCGTTGTCCTCATTTGTAAGTGCTTTGGATAAAGCGTCTGCTAAATAACTAAATGTAAATGTAACTGTATGGTTAAAGACTTGCACCAACTTAAAATCAGATGTACTGTACTGCAAAGTAATTATCAGTTTCTCTCAGAGTCATATGCAAACCATGCGATTCTGAGTCCAAGCACATGAATCTGTCCTGGCAGCAGCTCTCCAGTGTGGATGTTGTCTGCATCAGACCATGCTGCCCAAGTTTGAAGATGACTGTTAGAAGATATCAAACTGGACAGCATGAAATTGAGGGCATCCTCAAAGTCATGGCCCGTTCAACTTTGATATACCATCATCGCATTGCAACAGTTTTACAAGCCTTTATTAATCAGCCATCACCCACTGACATTAGAAAGTGTCTTCATACCATGACATAATATGATTTTCATATGGAGATCACCCTGTGTATATGGACTCTGATTTATATGGCAAAGTATCCTCATTGTATCAAATCTGATCTACTCAAGTGTGAAGTAAATTAAATCTATATTTCTCCAGGGAGTCATTCCTGAGTGTTAAGTCAGTGATGGGGCCATATTTTAGCATATTTGTGCCCTGATGGCGACATATTGCTCCAGGGTCACCGCCTCCATCTTTTTAGTGTGTCCCAGGGTTTGAATTGCAAAGGTTAATGATATTGCTCATATGAAGATACAGCTCTGTAGAGGGGGAGTAACTTTAATTCTGATCTCCCATTGCCAGAATTTGACTATTTGAAAGATGAATGTAGGAAATGTGCTATGATTTTTTTGGTGTTTCATAGTAAACTGTTGTTTGTTTCATTGTCTATTGGTTTGTTTTTAGCTTTTGAAAAAAAGGTAAATGTATTTAACATTTACATTTAGCAAGTTTTATATGTGTGACGGTGTCATTATTTTATGATTAAAAATACATACAAAAAATGCAGTTTGTACAGATACTGACTTGAACACAGCTTTTATTTTCTAAATGTTAAAATTCAGGTAACACTTTATTTTGAGGTGTCCTTGTTACACGTGTTACTTGTACTTACTATTATAATAACAATAAATTATGCATAATTACATGCAAGTAACCCTAGACCAAACCCTAATCCTAACCCTAACCCTAACCATATAGTACATGTAGTTAATTAATATTACTCAGTTCTTAAATGTATATTTACACTGTAACAAGGACCCCTTAAAATAAAGTGTAACCAAAATTAATTTTGGTTTTTTTGTGGAGCATTAAAATTGCAAAAGTTTCAAGTTTAAATAGTTCAAGTATTGTATGGTAGTTTAGCTTCAGTAGTTTCATAAAAAATTAATAAAAAAAATTTAAAGGAGCCGTTTACAAAATGATGTTTTAATGGTTTGTTCATCAAATCAAAGACAATGCAATTCAAGCCATTTTGAAGAAAGGAAGAAAACCATAATACAGGAAATCGCAGATGGGACCCCTAAAGATCCTCACGACTGTGTGTCGTTCAGTTTTTTATTCTTGTATTGGATTATTAGATCTTTTGACATGAAGGTTACAGTAGTTCAGGTTGTCGCATCAAATGGAATTACCTCAAGAAAATTTGTTGTGTCCATGATTGAAAAACTCATATTATACTGTATATTATAATTATAAAAATAGTTGTTACCATGAAAAATCTGGTAGTCAATAGAAGCATGAAGTCTTTGTTTCTGCAAGAACGATGAACCTGTAAGAAAGGCGTTATTGTGATTTAGGTTGCATCACTTAAGAAGGATTTTGTAATCCAGAAACTTCACAGTTGTTGGTATGCAGTTGTTTGTAGGACATTATGATGTATTCTATCTTATGTTTACAAACTCATAACTTGTTCCATGAAACTTTCCATCATAGCTTCTTCTCTTTATTAGGGTTCATTTGATAAGGAAGTAATAGGGTGAGGAGCTCATCTGGCTTTTATCTTAGTGTGTCCATCTCCCGCCCTCTCCCACCTCCAGCGAGTGGGGCTCCGCTGCACTGCAGGTGGAGAATGAAAATATGAGGGTTGCGTAGAGGATCCAGACAGCTGATGGTGCCAGATAAGAGCTCACTCAGGGAGGTAAAGGACTCCAGCCAGCCCTTATTAATGATCCAACACAGCAGAGGTATCACAACGCTAGCAGGCCTGGTCATTTCTGTGGGCAGTTTTTTATTACATGAATTGGAAATCACAATGCACTTTTAAACTGCTGAAGCTGTACTAAGCAAGCACTATGCAGTGTTACCAGATTTTGCTGAGATATGTTCATACCTGAGATAGAGATCGGAATCCCAGGGAATGACGTTGAATGATGCATGAATTTTATTCCACTTGGACTTATTTTGATATAAGTGTTATGGTAGGTTAAGAGTGGCATAGAAAAGGCAGGAAATAGTTGAGTAGCATAGCAAACATTTGGGCACACAATCAGTGTTTGTCTCTTGCTTGTTGTGACACATGCTTTTTCCCACCTCCTTTTATTTCATGTACTTATTGGTGGGGTACTGTTGAAAAAATTCTGTTCAATTTGTATTATATTTGTCATAGGCAATACAAGAGGCTGACATTGTTTAAATAACAGTTTATAAACCTGTCAAGAGTTGATGGGGTGGACAGTAAATGGTGACATATTACTGGCTGACAGAAATCAAATTCCATAAAAGTGAAATTGAAAACACCCCAAGGCCTCTGTGCCGTCAAGTAGACAGCTTATTTTAAAGTTCTCGCAAGAGGGAAGAAAACTTGCCAGAGCAGTTTGTTGCAGTTTATTTTGAAAAAGAAAAAGAGAAATAAAGCAATCTAGGCAGATCATCAACCATAACACATACTGGCCATTTTTTCTCCTTCTCTGACTAGAGGTTTATCCGTCATGTATAGACTGTTTTACTGAAGCACTGAAACACTTGATAAATGCATCATGCAGTGTGCAGATAGAACTCAAGATCCGGTTTAGGACCGTCACTGTTGAGGTACCATAAACCTTGTGTCCAATTATATGATTAAGTATGTCTTCTGGTTCAAACAGGGACTGTATGAGGATGAGAAGATGGACCAATTATATATAAATAAATAAAAGGAAGAAATTCAGGGTGTCTGCGGGGTCTTAAAAAGTATTAAAAGTTGATAAATCAATTTAGAGAAAATTAAGGCCCTTAAAAAGTCTTAAATGCCATTTTCCAAGGTATTACATTTTGTACAATCTTTTCATTATGCATATTTGTCAAATAGTGGGGTTCTGTGTATTTTATTTATGGAATCCTGCAAGATTTGACTTCATCTGTTATGGCGCTCACTGACTGACTGCGCCGCTTCGTGATAGCGAATTACCGCACGCTCCCATCCGCTCCCGTGATTTCTGTCCAATCCCGCAAACATTCTAATATTGTATATAATTTTTCGCGCGTCAGGGCACCGCTATCAATATGTGGGGTATTTAAATCCCCTTTGAATGAGCGCTTGCAGTCGTAGTTCACGTTCACTTTCGATTTCGCGATTGCGCGTGCACTGTGTAAAGGGAGCACATCTTACGATAAAGGATATTGGTCAGTGAGCTCAGGATCTGTTGAGGAGCAAATCCTCCATCATCTTGTCAGTTATCTCTTCTTACTTTTGGCCCGTGATCAGACAAATCTAACTTCTGCAGCTCATGTTGAATGCAGGGTTGTTGTTGTTGTTTTCCACGAAATTGGGCTGCTTTCAAGCTGTTGCCATGGGTTGATTTTCCCCAGTGGGTTAAAAGGTTTGAAATATTGCATAAATTACATTTGGTTGATATGCTTGTACTGAAAGATTTTGCATTCTACCTGTAATAAAACTGCTAAATGTTTTGGGCCACACTAGTAGGAAGCATTTGAGCTGTTTTTATGATAAATGTCCATAACAGTGACTGTAAAATATGTATTTTAGGGATGGAAATTACATTTTTATATTTGGGACATGGTAATTGCGCTACTTTGGGCTGTTTTTTTTACTGGCATGGGCTTGGGATGCACAATTAAAATGATGTAATAGTTGTGATCATTATTTTACCTTCCATGATCATTCATACTTGATCAGGTGCAGTACTGACACTCTGTAAAGTCTGCATCAAATCAAGCACTCCGTAATCACAGGTAAACTTTCTGATCAGTCAGATGCTTGTCATGAGAAGTGTTCCACAAAACAGCTATGGTTTGAGTTGATGTGACAAATACATCTTTTAAATATACTGTGTGAACTCATTGCCCCGTTAGGTCGGAGAGCTTTATTTTCCCTCCTCAATATGTTTTGTCAGTTGTTTTGTTTATTGGTCTAATTCTTGTTTCTTGGGTTGCATTGGTTAGTCACTCAATTAATTCTCTTGTGCTTCGTTCCCCCCTTCTGAATTATGTTGTATTGATAAGGAGTTATCACAAAGTAAGTCTGTTTAGTTGCGTTATCTTACAATCAATATATAGTAAATGTAAGTTAAAGTGTCGCCGATGTAACCGGTTAAAACTTGGAGTGGCGATGAGATCTTAAAATGTATGGAAAGGGTCTTAAAAGGTATTAAATTTAATGCCATTATTCCTGTATATACCCTGAAATTGCAAAACTCAAAGCATCTAAAGGATGTTCAGCCTTTCAATTAAGACTTATTGGTAAAGCCACTGTATAGTCTTATTGTTTTGCAATGTACATGAACATTAGCTGGACCAACATTTTAAAAATAGAAAGAGTCAGAGCATCCTCCTTGCAGAATAAAAAATTTTAATTTCTTAAAAAAACACTGACCCCAAACTTTTGAACAGTAGTGCACTTTTTTTTTACTAAAGAAGCAAAATCCTTGTTGCATTCATATTGCTTCGCATTCATCACTTTATTCATTGTCACTACTTAATCTAAATTATTTTTTACTATTTTATTGAAGAGTAGAAATTAGCCAAGTTGTATTAAAACCTTGCGGTATGCTGAGCCTTGAATATTGACGTTTTACAAATTTGAAAATTGTGCGAATGTCTGCACCTGCAACTTTCAAAATGCGATTGTCTTTCTTTTTGATTCTTGACTGTTGATATGATGAGATTCTTTGTGTTGCGTTAACTTGTCTTTTTTTTTTTCCTCCACCTCTCCCAGAATCACATCCCTTTGAATCAGATGCCCAGTGGAAATGGTCGCCATAACATGTCCCCCCAGTACCGAACACACTCCTACTATTCATCTTACCTGAGTCAGGGGCTTGGCACAACTGCATGTGTGCCACCCAGCACCTGCCCTGAACCCAAAGCAGCAGGTCAGTCCCACACACACACACATGCTCTTAGGGCCATAAACTTTTATCCAGAGATTATCAACAGTGTGAGCAAGTACATCTGAGGGAGGTTCATACTCTTGAGTCAAGGGCGCTGTAAAATTTATAAAAATAAATAAATTCAAAGGTAAAACTTTTATGAGAGTCATTTGTTCTGGTGACTTCAGATTTAAAGAGACAAGGACCATGTGCTAAGCGCTCCAGTCTTAGAACATAGAAATCATAAATTGTATTTTCAGATTTTTCCGGTGCCTTACACTTTGTAAAGCTATACAGTTTGAACTGACAGTGTGTAAAATTATTTGTAGATTTTAAAAACAGTAATGGCTTACTGTGCACCATTTTGAACAAAAAAGTGTTGAAGGATGTTTTAGTATGATTATAGTCTTTCTGTGATCCACCATTCCTGTATACCTCCAAGCTGGCCACCTGCCCTGGCTGTTAATGATTTTTACATGCTGATTTCCAGTGGTTTCAACATAAGGGTGTCTGTCACCCCCACTATCACTGCAGGGGGTGTTATGTTCCATTACACGCAAAAGACGCCAAGCTGGGTGGTCCCATCTCCAAAACAAACTTACTCGGAGCCCAGTGAGGAGTTTGTGGTCTATTATTTGTTTCCTGTACCTTTATACAGCACCCTAATGCAGGGTTTTTGGGGTCTGGGGATCCACTAGGGACTCTGACTTATGAGTTATGTTACCATTGTTTTAGCAATGTTAAAGTTAACGTGTTAAGATAAAAAAAAATATTAATTAAATATGTACAGTATATAATGGTGCACCCTGAGCCAGTTTAAAATTGAAAAAAAACAAAACATTAATTTCGGTTGAGATGTTAAACTAATCGCGATAAAATTGGGGGTGGGAGATTTTATGAATGTATTTCTTCAGTCTTAAGAAAAGTTTATGTAGTAATTTTTTTTCATCATGCCTCTGTATAAAGCATATTAAAGTATTGTGCAGAACACGCATGATAGTGGCGGATGACTGTCCCGGGAGAGAAGAAATTGTTGAATAAAGTCATTATTATATAGTCAACTATTCTCGTAGCTTTGTAAAATTACAGTTGAACCACTGATGTCACATGGACTATTTTAACAAAGTACTTACAGTGTTTCTGTGCCTTGACAGTGGTAGGACCCTTGCTGTCTATGCAGGGTCAGAAAGCTCTTAGATTTCAACAAAAATATCTTAATTTGTGTTCTACCCTAATGCAGGGTTTTTGGGGTCTGGGGATCCACTAGGGACTCTGACTTATGAGTTATGTTACCATTGTTTTAGCAATGTTAAAGTTAACGTGTTAAGATTAAAAAAAATATTAATTAAATATGTACAGTATATAATGGTGCACCCTGAGCCAGTTTAAAATTGAAAAAAAACAAAACATTAATTTCGGTTGAGATGTTAAACTAATCGCGATAAAATTGGGGGTGGGAGATTTTATGAATGTATTTCTTCAGTCTTAAGAAAAGTTTATGTAGTAATTTTTTTTCATCATGCCTCTGTATAAAGCATATTAAAGTATTGTGCAGAACACGCATGATAGTGGCGGATGACTGTCCCGGGAGAGAAGAAATTGTTGAATAAAGTCATTATTATATAGTCAACTATTCTCGTAGCTTTGTAAAATTACAGTTGAACCACTGATGTCACATGGACTATTTTAACAAAGTACTTACAGTGTTTCTGTGCCTTGACAGTGGTAGGACCCTTGCTGTCTATGCAGGGTCAGAAAGCTCTTAGATTTCAACAAAAATATCTTAATTTGTGTTCCAAAGATGAACAAAGGTCTTGCGACTTCGGAACGACATGAGAGTGAGTAATTAATGACAGAATTTTAATTTTTGGGTGAATTAACCCTAGGGATGGGCGGTATCTTATCGTTTGCGATATACCGGTAAAAATTCTCTCCACGATAAGAATTAGTCTTCCCACGATAATAACGATAAAGTCTAGTTGTTGACACATTTCTGTGTGCGACTGGCAGACGTGAAATTGAGGAGTATCGCTAAATGAGGAGCTCGAGCTCATTTTACAATCTGTAACTGGTTTGGTTAAGGCTGTACAGTGCACAAAAAAATCGGTCTGAATTAATGTAGTACAGTAGCACGTGTGTGATACAGTTTTGCATGTGTATGAGCCTGTTTGCAAACCTGTTGTCCAACAAAGATATTTAATGACATGCTTTTTCTCTAAATTAACTTAATAACATAGTTGAGTGTTTGAAATACTTCTTTTTGTGCAAATATTAAAGTTTTTGAATTGAAAATATTTCATAAAAAAAAACAAGCAGACAAATTTTTTTAATTAAAAAACAAAATTAGAAGTAGCATTAGAACAGAGAGTGCAAGAGTTAGAGGGTCAAATGAAGATGAAAGGGATGTGTTTTCAGCCATTTCTTGAAAATATTAAGGACTTAAGGACTCAGATTGAGCTGGGCAGGTCATTTGTTTCAATGCAAGCATTTCAGTCAAATGTAATTTATGCAATATTTCAATATTTCAAAC